ACACACACACACACACACACACACACACACACACACACACACACACACACACACATTGGTGATATATATGTGTGTGTATATATATATGATATATATATATATAATTATATACATTACATATAAAACATGTGAAGACCGGATGACTGTGAGAAATAATGATGAGCGTGGTCAATCATGACTGCGAAGGAATCTTGTTACCCCTCCAGTTTTCAGCCACAGTCAGCTAGAACCAGCCTTGGCCTGTACTCTCGTCCTGCACGGTGTTTTGTGTTTCTTGCAAGGGGGGAGTTGGATAGTTGTTCAGCAAATACGTATTGAGGCCCCACTCCACAAGGCAATGGAGATACAGTGGTACATATCATATATGTAAATGATCATGTGTTTTTCTCTTAGTTCGTTAGTATGGTGGACTCCATTGATTGATCTTTGAATGTTAAACCAACTTTCCATTCCTGGAATAAACCCCACTTAAGTCATCATGTATTATGCCTTTTATGTCTTGTTGGATTCTGTTTGCTAAAATTTTGTTAAAATTTTTTACACTGATGTTCATGAGGACTGTAGTTCTATAGTTTTCTTGTAATGTCTTTGTTTAGGTATCAAGATAATTCTGGCCCCATAGAATGAGTTGGGAACTATTTCCTCCTTCAATTTTCTTGAAGATTTTATGTAGAATTTGTGTTATTTTTTCCTTAAATGTTTGGTAGAATTCACCAGTGAGGCCATCTGGGCCTGCATGTTTCTTTTTGGGAAAGTTTTTAAGTATAAATTCAATTTCTTTACTATATGTATAGCACTCTTTGGAGCCCTTGTGGCAAAGTGGTTAAGAGCTCAGGCTGCTAATCAAAAGGTTGGCAGTTCAAGTCCACCAGCTGCTCCTTGGAAACTCGATGGGGCAGTTCTGCTCTGTCCTATAGGGTCACAATGAGTCGGAATGGACTCGACAGCACTCAACAATAACATAGCACTCTTCAAGTTATCTGTTTCTTCTTGAGTGACCTTTGGTAGTGTCTTTCAAGGGAGTCATCCATTTCATCTGCGTTCTTGAATTTATTGGCATAAAGTGGTTTATAATCTCTTATTATCTGGAATCTACAGTGATACCTCCTGTCTCATTCTCAGTGTTGGTACTTCGTGTCGTCTTCTTCCCCACCCCCTATCAGTCTGACTAGAGGTTTATTAATTTTATTGATATTCTCAGATAGAACCAACTTTTGGTTTTATTGATTTCTTTTTGTTATTTTTCTGCTTTGTATTATTGATTTGCATTTTGATCTTTATTATTTCTTTTGTTTACTTTGGTTTTCATTTGGTCTTTTCTAGTTTCTTAAGGTACAAGATGAGATCTTTGATTTGAGAACTTTTTTCTTTACTAAAGAGGGAGTTTAGTGCAATAAATTTCCTCTGAGGTACTGCTTTAGCAGCATTCCTCAAATTCTAGTATGCTGTGTTTTCATTTTCATTCACTTCAAAATGCTTCCTAATTTCCCTTTTGATTTCTTCTTTGACTCATGATATTTGGAGATTTTTCAGATATCTGTATGTTACTGATTTCTAATTTAATTCGATTGTGATCAGAGAGGGGGTAGTTAACGACAACACCTTATTCTTGGTTACCTGCGGAATGTCACGGGTGGCTCCTGCCCGGTTATTCCCAGGAATTCGCCATTTGGGCAGGGCCCTGGAAAACACTCTGGGAATTTAGATGGTGCATTAGAGTAGCACATGTAGATGCCCATCAAAAGAACCCCCTTCCTGAATTGGGAGGCGATTGGGATCAGCAAGTGGACTTGTTGGCAGGCTCACGTGAGGTGGCAAATTGTACCTATTTGATGAGTGAAAGTGGAGGAAATGCAGCAGTGAACAGACAGGCTGAGTGTGGACATGTTCCACTGGCATCCATTGACCTAGGCCATGGGGTAGGGAGGAGAGAGAGAAAGAGCTGGCTGGTCAGAAATGCAGGGAGCTGTGTGGACTCCTGAGCTTACGGGTGGTGCCCTTTGCCCTAGCCCATGGGGGCTAGGGATGAGAGATAGAGAGAAAGGGCTGGCTAGTCAGAAGTGCAGGAAGGTGTGTGTGAACTCCAAGCCTACAGCTGGTACTCATTATGACCTAGCTTGGATGGCTGGGGATGAGCTGACCAGAATCCAGCTGAATGAAGAGAAAGATGTTTGACGTCATGAGCTGGTGTAGATTGCTGCAATTTGATGGCTTGCTCTGGACTGGACTTTGAATGTGGATGCAGATGCTCAAAATTCCAGCTGGAACAGAAGATTCTTCAAGGCCAAGGAACGTGCTTGCCTCCTCAGTACTGGTTTGATACGGATGGACAGTTTAAACATTGGCTGTCTAAAACGGGGGCAGATAAAGGCATGCAGTAGCTGGCTTACACGCTTTCATGGGTGTGCTTACACTCAACAAGAGGGGGACAAGGGTGGGTCCCCACTGAATAGACTCCTCTTTTCCTAATGGGTCTGGGGAAGAGAGGGTGGGGGGTGATGCTGATAGGATTATATGATTCATGTATGGTGCTGATTGTTAACAGGGTTACCTGTGATTGTAAAAACTGTACTGTAGGAGTTGTAAGTGTGAAATAGTGGACTGGGGGGAGGCAGTGCTGGGCTAGAGTACAGTGGCTGAACCTAAAGTCCCTTAAAGGTTTTGCTATGCTGATACCTTGTGAGGCTCAGAGCAAGGGAATAATCTTCTCTCAGTTAAATTTTATCAGAGGCCAGAAACGGTTTGATGGGATGAACTTTGGGAGAACCTGACCAGATCAGGTGGATACCGGCTGCAGACCTGACTGGCTAGTACCTGAGTAACTTCACCCTGAGGAGTCTTTACCCTATTGAAGGATTAGTTGTTAATGGCCTTTTTGGACTGGTAAAATGATTGGGAAGGGGAAGTTAATCCTTCAAGTATGAAAGGGCCAATGGCTAGAAGAGCCAGGATGGGGGTGGGGGGCTGTGGTGCAGTGAATTCCTTAATAAATACGGCCCTTCTAGCCGTATTCTTTGGTCTTGCGCCTGACTCAAGCCGTGGTTTTATCAGTCGCCTCATGCATGTGAAAACTGGGCAATGAATACGGAAGACTGAAGAAGAATTGATGCCTTTGAATTATGGCGTTGGTGAAGAATATTGAATATACCATGGACTGCCAAAAGAATGAACAAATCTGTCTTGGAAGAAGTCCAGCCAGAATGCTTTTTAGAAGCAAAGATGGTGAGACCTCGTCTCACATACTTTGGACATGTTATTAGGAAGGATCAGTCCCTGGAGAAGGACATCATGTTTGGTAAAGTAGAGGGTCAGCGCAAAAGAGGAAGACCATCAACAAGATGGACTGACACAGTGGCTGCTCAAGCATAACAACGATTGTGAGGATGGCACAGGACCAGGCAGTGTTTCTTTCTGTTGTACATGAGGTTGCTATGAGTTGGAATCGACTTGACGGCACCTAACAACAGCAGCAATAGTCTTTGTAACTCCCACCAAATGACTGGGTGGGACTATGCAAATGAGGTGTACAGAACCCTAAAAGGGGATTGGTCAGTTTTCCGACTTTGCTAGGCTTAAAGGGAGACACAGAGAGCAGGAGGTGTAACATGTAAGACAGAGAGGGCGAGCTGAACACCAAAAACGATGAGAAATGGCGGCAGCAGAACCAGGAGACGATGCGGTGGACTTTGTGGCCCATGGCATGAGAAAGCTTAGCACCTTTGGGCAGGAGGCTTGCAGGTGGAGTAAGGTGCCTCCTGGCATTTGATGGAGCTAGGTTTGCCAACCCATGGAGCTAGAGCTGAGCGCCTTCGGGCCGAGGCTTACTGGCCGAGTGGGTGCCTCTGCGTACTTATTGGCAGAGCTAATAGAGCTCTGTAACCCTTGCCCAAGCAGAGCAGAGGCCAAAGGGCCAGAGAGAGAGGTGTCCGTGGGCATGACTGAAAAGACGATAGGAAGAACTGTATTCTGAGCATTCCTGAACCTGAAATGTAAACTGTTACTTCCCTAATAAATACCATAAGCATGAGTATGGTCTGTGAGTTGTGTGTGGCCATTGCAGTGAATTATCAAACCCAACAGAGAAGTAGAGAGTACCGTGGGAGGGACAGATGGTGTCAGAATTGGTAAAGACGGCAGAGAGAGGAGGTATGTCTGACCTCCACCTCATGGCAATCAGCCTTGGGCTGTTGATCTTGATTCTCCTTACCCCTTGTGAAGTTAGAGGAGGTCGGATGCCTCCGCCATGCCATTTTTACAGACCTGAATCCTTTTAATTTTATTCAGACTTGTTTTATGGCGTATAATATGGTCTATCTTAATAAATGTTCCAATTGCACGTTAAAAGAATGTGTATTCTGAAGGCCCCAGGTGGCACGAACGGTTTGTGCTCGACTGCTTACCTAAAGGTTGGCAGTTCAGATCCACCCAGCAGTACTGCAGAAGAAAGCCCTGGTGATCTGCTTCTGTAAAGATTACAGCCAAGAAAACCCTATGGAGCAGTTCTATTTTGTAACACATAGAGTTACCAGGAATCAGAATCGA